CCCCTGAGGATAACTGAGGAGCTATTTCAAGAAAATAGCGACTTCAGTCTAGAAAACCAAGATTAACGGCCACGGGGATTCGTTGCTCTGACCACGCGACACCTTCTATCCGCTAAAGTTGGTACTATCTTCGCCGACAAGCGGCGGTCTCTCGGTCGGAATAGTTCACTTGCGGACTAAAACCGCGGAGTTTTTTTTTTGTCATATGATTACTCGTCTTTATTCGGAAGTATCCCTGAATGTTTGAACGGGATTTTACTGTACTTACCGTAAGTTGACAGGTAGGAAGGAAAAGAGGCTTGAAATTCGCCCGGACCATGAGTACCATGAGAGTCTGTCCAACTCCCTCTTAGATGTCCCATGTCGCTTGGGTAGTAGATGGTAAAATAAACTCACGTTTAGAAAGGGGGTTGCAGACGAAGCAGCGTCTTTTGACATGAAAGTTTTGACTGCCTCAGATCCACCCTCCCCCACCACCCTCACCCCGTATTTTTACTCTCTCTCTCTTCGACACATTCGTACATCTAAAAACAGGAAGCCTTTCTGTAAGAAAAATAAACATACCCTTCATAGGCGCATGTATTTACTGAAAATATATACTCACAGTACCAGACATTTCATGAACTGCGCGTATTTTACGGGGATGTAGACCCTGAAATTAAACGGCACTTCTAATAGAATAACCGTCAAAATTCCGGTAGGTCATATTCGTATTCTCGAAACGTGCCTGAATTACTCACGGAGCCGAGCCCTTCTTGAGGAGCCACCAGTTGTGCAGCTACTCAAGAACTCCCCAGCATTTTATGGAACCGAAGGTTCATTGCCGTTTAACTTCGTTCATTCATTCTAATATATTTCAATACCGTGTTCACAAGAGCCCTCCACTGTTCCCTATCCTGAACTAGATCGATCCAATCCATACCATCCCATCCTAGCTTTCTAAGATCCATTTTAATATTGTCTACCTATTTACGGCTTGGTCTTCCTAATGGTTACTTTCTTTCTGGCTTTCCCACCAATACCTATATTCATTCCTTTTCTTCCCAATTCGTGCTACATGCCCTGCCCATGTCATCCTCCTCGACTGGATCATTCTAATTATACGTGTACTTGGAGAAAAGTACAAGTTATGAAGCTCCTCATTATGCACTTTTCTCCAACCTCCTGTCACTTTACCTCTCTTCGGTCCAAATATTCTCCTCAACGCCCTCAGCTTATGTTGCTCGCTTAATGTCTGAGACCGGCTTTCATACCCATAAAGAACCACACGAAAAATTATAGTATTCTGTATTCTGATTTTTACGTTTTCAGACAGCAGACGAGAAGACAAAAGGTTCTGGACTGAATAGTAGCAAGCATTACTCTAGTTCAATCTCCTCGTAATTTCCTCTTGAATAAGGTTTCAATCTGTTATGGTTGTCCACTGATATGTGAACTATGCCACATTTTCAAAATGTTTGTTTCCTATCTTTATGTTATAATTTTGCCGTGCATTCTGGTGACGAGACAGCAACATATACTTAGTTTTCTCTGCGTTTGTGTGTTTTTCTTTATGGTATCTATATTATCATCAGTATAGACCAACAGCTGAGGTGTCCTGTTTAATTGCAGCCCCACCTGGTTTTCCTGGACGTTTCTAATGGCATATTGTAAAGCAAAGTGACGTGCCTGAGTAAAAGTTTATTTTCGAACAGGTTGGTCTACCTAGACGCTGCAGTTACATATTCGGAATGAGGTAGAAGAAAAAGGTAGTTAAGCACTGTGCATTTGATACTCTAGCGGTCACCCGTCCTACTATTCACCACGCACAGTGTTGCTTAACCTCTTTACCATGGTGGCTCGCGACGTGGCAGTTGGCCGAGGGATCACAGTTTATGGACCGCAGCAGGAGTGGGAAGAAAAAAAAAGCGGGGAATGGAGTACTGCAAGGGAATTGGAAGGAACAGCAGCCACTATGTTTGGCGCCACTAGTCAAGTATTTGTCAATCCTTTTGAAAATATTACCTAATTAGCTGAACACGTTAATTCACTCGAAAACTAAAATGCACTTCATCTTATGAACAGTCACTCCTTGGACATGAGGATAAATTAAAGTATGACTCCATGAGGATGTATGGGCTTGAAGCTAGCTGCATGCATTCTTGATCGCAGTGTCAGCTGGGGATGAGTGATTCTGGGTCACCGTACCCCGAGGAAAGATTCCGTTGTATCGATTTTATATGGGGATGGATAGACGGCAATGGTGTACCGAATATGGTGGCATAAGGGAAGAGACAGTGTCCTTGCCCGGAATCAAACCCCGCTCTGGTACAATGCCTTGTGTCAAGTGGCGTGTTAGCTAGATTTAGAAAAGTAGTTCACTTAACTCATGTAAAGAAGAAAGTGACAGCCTTTTCATAATATTCTCTCTCTGTGATGGGAATTGTACATAGGTTCGACGTGTGAATTCATTGTAGGCCGTGAAAGGTGACAGTGTTTGTATAAACATGTCGGAGATGACTGTTTTTATGGAGCGCTCTGTCTTCTGTGGTGAGCTACAACAAGAGTATTCAGAAGTGGAGATATTTTCTGAAGCTAATTGGGTCTCTCAGGACCGACCCCGTCCTCGTCCTCCTCGTCCTCTCTANTCCCCCCCCCCCCCGTATTTCTAAAAAGAAGTTGTCGTCATTTTTGTTTGACAAGCAATTATCAGTGTTTGTCTTGACAGAACAGGAAAATTTAGCGGGCAGGAGTTGAGGGGTAGAAATTTAGGGTGCAAGGGGAGGACTAATATAAACTCTCCATCATTGGAAAAATGAAATTTGGACTTCGCTCTCTAGCCATGTCAGAGGAAACAGATGCGTTAGCTTTGTTATAGGCCTCGCACAACAAGGGTTAAATGCCCCTCTCTAACAAATGTAACAGGCTGTACTATAGTAAAATGTAAAGCTGTCTCTCTGCTTAACTAATTAAGCACTACGCCATGAAGGCGTATGGTGGAGTGGATGTATAGACCCACGTTTTCTTGATATCGGCACTAGTTGGAGATGAGTGGTCAGGCTCACTACCCGGCAGCTTTACCCCCGGTACCCATTGGGTAGGAGGTTGGGTGGCCCCCAGAACCGGTCTGGACGACTTGGAGAATAGAAAATTCTTGACCATACCGGGACTCGAACTTCGACTCCTCTGTCGTTCAGCCCGTAGCCAGTCGCTATGTTGACTGCACTATCCTGGCTCCCGATGGGGTGCATAACGGTGATTAGAAAGGAGCATTTTCGTGTAATGGTAACTTTTTTTAGACTTGTATTCGGTAGGTGCTCGGTTGGAAACTCAATGGGGAAACCGGTAGTCGTAGTTTCCTCCAGTGGGAAGTGGATGGAAGTGGCTTAGGATTGTGTGTGATGGTGATCTTTGGTACTCTGAGTGTATTACAGGAGAGCTAGTTACAGTACTTGCCAGGACTGAAAAGAATTTCAGATTTTTTACATATTGAATTGCAAAGCATGGAACCAGGCAGGGATATACTAAACGTCCTGGTAGTCGGCAGCACCGGTGAAACATTCGGCATCCTGTGTTGGTGTTTTGAGTCATTTGTCCCTCTGATGACAAAAGTTTTAAGGATTAGGTTTATAATTTTCCGCTGATGATATGCTCCGAGTTTGTGATATATTCTTTTGACAGATTAATTCGTTCTGATGTGAAGTGAATTTCACTGTTCACAATCTTTGGCACTTGAGAACTAAGCTGTGTCTAAATTATCTTTGAGGGTACATAGATTGTTAGGCATGCAGTGGAAACCATAGCGCCGTACCCAAAGTCCCATTGAATTCACAAGATTTTCGTTGAAGAAAGCAGTCTTCTGGGATTTGGCACCGTGTATATGTGGTGTTAACCGACGTTTCGGAGGAACGGTAAAGCTTTACCGTTTCTCACGGTGTTGTCGCTTGCAGAATTCTTATACTTTTTCTTCTACCCTGAAGATGGGGGCGATACGTTCCTCCGAAACGTCGGTTAACACCACATATACACGGTGCCAAATCCCAGAAGACTGCTTTCTTCATAGTCACCGCCGTGAAAGCCTCAAATCTTAAGATTTTCGTTCCTTAAAGTTTCCCACTCACGGTATTAGGTACGCACACGAGATGTTCTGCACAGATTATTGTCAAATTTTTTGGATGTAGATCTGAATTTCAGGTGTAGGGGGCTTTAATGTAAATGCTCTTATTATTACCAATTATACAGCTTCCCTTCTGTCATATAACGTTCCGCAGTTTCTTTTATTCCACAATTGTTGAAATAATTTAAGATGTATGCTAATAATCATTGTTACCAATGTTCTCCGAAACCCCTCCGCAGTCTAGGGGTAACGTTCCCACCTCATGACTCAAGGTACGCGGGTTCAAACCCGGCGGATGTCGTGGAATTTTTAAGGGCGGAAAAATTCAGGGAACAAGTCCTCCGGGAGGGACTTTAAGCTGTGCGTCCCGTGTCACAGATTTACGGCACGTAAAATATCCCCATGTCTCTAGGAGACCTCTGAGCAAAATTAGGCAAAGTTTCCCGCCCAAGTAGTTTCCAATGCCTCCGGTAGATGGGGAAGTTATCGGGTACCACTGCCAGCCTCGCTGGCTGAACGGGGCTGATAGCGAACACCAGTACCGGCAGGGTATGGCGACTGGTAGAATATCAAAAGGGGACGTACAATAGACCATTAGTCGCGGTGCATGGGGAATCCCACCCCCTCCAATAATAATAATAATAATAACGTTAGAAAGGCGTCAAAACATTTATACCATATTTTTTCCTCCCTTAATTTGAACGTATATTTATACTTTAATTTTTATTCATTTGGTCCAGCATACAATTTAGAGAGTGTTTTGAAGAGAAAGAGAAACAGGACTGAATTGTTTCCTCTGTTTTGTGACCTCTGATTATGTTGGCAAAGCAGTGTACTACTCGCCGGTTTGTGAAGCCATTTATAGACAAGTGAAGTAGCGGTGATCGTTGGGGCCATGTTGCAGGCGAGTTCCAGTTGCGACAGCAACATGGAGGCATCTCCTAACAGGGAACAGGAACGGTCCCGAAGCCATTACGCAGGATTTAGCCGGGGACCTGGAGGTGCTGTTCGTAGAAGAGGCACCCCCATCCCTGTGTTACCACCCAGGGCACCTACACCCGTGCCGTCTTCCGACACAAGGTACGTCATTCTTATTTTCAACATTTCAACATTTTTGCATTGTCATGTGTGAAGCGTATGGTTACTGATGTCGGTAATGCAGCCCACAACAGTTATCGTGAAATGCTAAATCCTTTGTACTACAGTGGAACCTTGGTAACCCGACCCCACTTTCGCCTGAATTACCAGTAACCAGTTCAGATTTAAAGCAGCACAAAAATTAGAAGAAAAAGAACAATAAGTTCTGGCAAGAACTAATCAACTACTTTCCTTTTACTTCAAATCGAGTATTTGAAACAACAGAGAGGTTGTAATGTTGGTACTACTGATGAGAGGAATTTGTTAAGTACACCGTTAAGATGACCTCAGCTGCCTGATAAGGATATTATCTCAATAGTTGAGAGGATGTGTAATGTTGGTATTAGTGATGGAAGGATTTATGAAGAAGGCAGTTGAGATAGCTTCATGTGGCACGATATAATATACGTGTATACCTGGGGTCTAGATCAGCTTCACGCCTCTGCTCCAGAGAAAAAGCCCGCGGTACCCATCTGTAGGAGACTGGGTGGGCCCCAGGGCCGTTCTGGACGTTGTAGAGGAAAGGAAAACTTTTTGTCCTTTGTCAGCCTGTTTCACATATCATCATCCAGTGATGTGATTGTGATTTGGGAGTGAGCAGTCACTGTATGTTGCGACGATTGTTAAGTTTCGATAAGAGAGAGACAGGAATGACCGCTAAGAGCACAGTGTCTGAAACGGGGACACGACGTCGCATTGCCTGCGTTAAGTTTTCACTTCCGAGCCCTCCATTGTTATACAGGAGGATAAGGAATTAGAAATTAACATGTCCCATGCAGACAACAGATAATCAATGTTAGCGCCTCGATGTATTTAGGATTTCGTTACAGATAAGGGCGTTATAATGAAGTTTCTCTTGTTTCGAAGACTACAAGGACCCGCATAGGTTTCGGTTGACTGAAATGTAGGCACAGAAATTTATACTATAGACTTATTTCGGAGATACTGAAATTGTGAGGGTAAAAGTGAAAAGGGCCGAATTTAAGGGTGAAGATGGGGGTAGATACATATCTTCCAAGACACATAAGGTGGTGACATCTCTGAAAATTTCTGTTTTGTTTGTTATGATTTATTACACAATAGGGTGTGCTTTTTGAGGAAGGAATTGTGTGGTACATCTGGATTTGTGTTGCTGTACCGGTGTCTTTATTATCATTTAGGCTATGTAAGATTTGAGGCTTTCACGGCGGTGACTATGAAGAAAGCAGTCTTCTGGGATTTGGCACCGTGTATATGTGGTGTTCCTCCGAAGCGTCGGTTAACACCACATATACACGGTGCCAAATCCCAGAAGACTGCTTTCTTCATCATTTAGGCTGTTTATAAATATTGAATTTAATATATTTAATTCGTTACTATTAAAATTTTTTGATATAGTTTCGAAATGAGAATCAAAAAATCAAAATTAAACTACAGAAAATCATTTTCCGTTTTATTTTTATGTCATTTGAAATCAAAATCAGCCCATTAACAAAGAGTCCGTTTAAAATCAGCTGACGTTTCTGGGGATCATTTCGACTACATCTTCAGGGTCGTGGAATAGAAACCAGCGCGAAGCTGGTAGCAAGCAGAGCCATCTAGCGGCTTTAGCACCAAACTTCAATACTGAGGACGTGACGATATGCTGCGTGGTCATGGCTATCACACATCTTAGGGGACAGTGGTAGAATGATGATTAGCAAGGGGAAACCGAGGAAATTCTTGAGAAAGATCTTCAGCTTGTAACTTCGGGAAAGTTATGATATTAGCTTTGTAAGAAAGTACGCCACCATAAATTGTGAGACAAAAGTTATAACAACCTGGTGAGTGTGGAGTAGAGAGGAGATGGGGGGAGGCTGGAAAATTAATTGTGGTGCTAATTAGCTCCATCCCCAAGCTGACTGTAATATGCATGTGACTAGCAATTTGTCTCCCGAAGCGCCCCATGCCGCTGTGTGTGACATCCATCAACTGTTTTTATAACCAGGAAACTTGTATGAAGAAGCGCGGTTAATTTGGGCTTACACGATTTACACTTCCGTATCCTGGCGTATATTTCTAATAATAAGTGTTATGTCCACGTACATCTACCGGAGCCAGGATAGCTCAGTCGGTATAGTGACGGCCTGAACACCCGAGGAAATGGGGTTGGATTTCCGGCAGTGACAAGAAGTTCCCCTCATATCCACCTCGTCTATACTCTGGGACCCACCTAGTCTCCTGTCCAGTTGGTACCGGAGGATGTTCCCCAGGGGTTAAAGCGGTAGGAGTGTGAAGCTGACCACCGCCATCTAGTGCTGAGGTCAAGAAAGGTGGAGCTATACCTCCATGGCGTGGTGCCTAAATAATTGGGCACAGGAGAAACGTTACTGTATATATGTCTTGCCAGTTGTGTGATGGAGTAGCGAAATTATATATATAAGGGCTGAATGGAATAATATTAAAACGGAATTTCATTAAGCATGTGACGAACCTTTTCAGTTTGTTAGGAGCAGCGACAGGTGTGTGCACAGGCGAAATGGGCTCTCTTATTCTGACATTTCCAGAACTCTTTCCTGAAAGCTCTCCAGATATCAATGAAATGCTTGAGCCTCAGTTATATTAAAATATTACTAATAATATGACATGAACATTTAAGTAAATAATTTCCACTGCTACAAGCCGGAAGGTCGCGGGGTCGATTCCCGACGAGGTCATTGTATTTCTTAAATTGACCTAACTCTTCCAGCCGCACTATGGCCCTGGAGTCAGCTCAGCCTCTAACAGAAATGAGTACCAGGAATCTTCCTGGGGTTAAGGGCGGCTGGCGCGTAAGACTGACAATCTCACCGCTATCTGTGAGCCGATTGTCTAGAAAATGTGGGAGCCTCTACGTCGCAGAACCCTATGGGCCTTCACGGCCTCTTACAGGGATACCTTTAATTTTCAATTACAGTCTGTTTATATTTATGAGTATATTTTCTCTTACATTCTTGTAATTTAATGTGGCATGTTGAGTTGTATGTATGGCGGTCTATAGCTGTTTTCGTCGGATCGGCGTAGAACGTTTTGAGGGCTCCCCTGGGGGCGGGAGTCCACTGTTTCCACTTAGGGAAACACTTCTCCACGGGGTTGGTGACAATAGATGATTCATTGTACCAGTAGCATGTTGGGATTTTTCCATTACATGAGGTCTTCCTGTAAAATTATTGAAATTAGTGAGGGAATTATTACAAGTAATGGGCATTGTTACGGTTTGCAATATATTTTTGTTTCTAAGGTCTAGAACTGTGAGAAGAATGGCAACAATTAAACTATATATATATANGAAAGAACATCTTTGAAAGTGTTTGGAAACAATCACCAAGATCATGTTGTTATTATTGTTATTATTTACTTCTCTTATTTATTTAACGGGGGACCGCCTCTGTGGGCTAGTGGTCAGAGTTCGTGGCTACATATCCAGAGGTCCTGGGTTCGATTCCCAGCGCTACCAGATTTTCAGAGAAGTAGTGGGGCTGGAACGAGGTCCACTCAACCTCGTGAGGATAATTGAGGAGCTATGTCAAGCAAATAGCGGCTCCGGTCTAGAAAACCGAGATTAACGGTCGTGGGGATCCGTTGCGCTGACCACACGACACCTTCTATCCGGTAAAGTAGGAACTAACTTCGCCGACAGGCGGTGGTCGGTCGGTCGGTATAGTTCGCTTGCGGACTACAGGCCACGGAGTTTGTCAGCGCGGCCTATACAACGTCGAATGATTGGATGATGAATGGAGAGAGATGTAGGAAGAAGCAGTCGTGGCCAATTTCAAGACATTTATCTTTGTATTCGCCTGGAGAGACTGAAACCTAGTGAGGGTGGTCGGTGTCCCAGTCTGTATTCGAGTCATGACCACGAGGGTCGGCTTGTTCGGCGTATGTTCCTTCAGTTGTGACGTCATTCCGTTTCGTGACCTGAACTAATGAGACTCTCAAGTGTGTGAACCATCTCAGATAATTAATGGCACGTTTGTGCTATTCATGTAACCTGAGAAGTTTCCGTATGAAATGTCACTCCCGTTTCTCTGCTTCCAGGTAGGTAATTGCTTAATAAATTTCACTATGACGGATGTTTCTAGCGCCACGATTCGTGGAGCCCTTCTATCGAAAACGGGGGATTTTCACACGGAAAATATTTATGTAATTTTCCTATGAGCATATTTTTTTTAATCTCACTTTAATTTCTTTAGAATTTTGCTAAATTCTGTGTGAGTTCAGAGGAGTTGTACAGCAGAGTATGTGTTATCATCTGCAATTATGTATTTTTTGTCATGTACTTGAAACTTTTGGAAGTATGTTAAAAGTCTTGTAAGTATGTTATAAGTAACGTAAATTCTCCTAAAACGTAAAAGTTGCCCTAATTAATAAGCGAACGGCCTCTTCGAGTACCACCTTATAATGGAGAGGAACTTTGCGCTGCTCTGTACAGCAACCGCGCGCCCTTGTGTATACGCAAGGAATCTCTGTTGAGACTCTTTTGAATGTAGACTTCCGGAACTCGATCTGCAGATGACATTCTCGTCTATTTGCTTGGGAACTCGACACCCATTGTGTGCACCCTTCCTCACGTCTGGACGGGTTTCACAACTTACGTTTAAAAACAATAAAAGTGTTCGTTGAATGATGTAGATCCACTGTTTCTATGTTATTCGTATTTTGTTCCCGCCTGTCGTCCTTATCTACAGTGTGACCGATTTGTGTCGCATTCAGTGGCGGTACCACGTCTCATCCTTTGACACGCACATCTGTTACTCCTTGCTGTGTCAACAAGGTGTTTGCCTTTTGATCTTCTTGTACTAAGATAGAGGTTCTCAAACTTTTGATACCGCGGCCAGCTGAAATAATACATACATTTACGCAACCCTCCCACCAATCTCTGCAGATCAGAGGAAGAACACATTGTTGCAGGCCCTATCAGACTGTACGGTGACAGCAGGAACCTA